GGGTGTTTCTGCTCAATGCAGGGTGCCTGGCGAGGCCAGGAGCCCCAGGAAGGTAGGGATGGCACAGGCTGGTGTCACGGTATCACAGCTCAGCTCTGCTCTCATGGGGTGAAGGGCTGCAAGGGTGCACAAAAGGAGTGGAGTGGCTTGTGTGCTAATAGTGAGGGACAAGGGGCATAGCTGGGTGCAAAGAGAAAGCAGGGCCAAAACTACTCCAGGATTAAACTACACCCAGGATTAAACACACAGATCTAAATGCATACAGAGGTCTGTGTGTGACATGCACACAAAGAAGAAAAAGTCAAAATGGGACAGAAGAGGGGAAAGGATGGAGAAGGGGAGGTGACCAAGGGGAAGAGGGAGGGAATCCAGCCCTTGCAAGCACAACTGCAGTGGAAAACGTTGGACATTGCAAGCAAAGCATTGAGAAGCAAGCTGGGCTCGGTGTTTCCAGCCACAGCAGGAAAAGTGGCCGTTCACTTGGGTCTACAGCTTGTCCGATCTCTCAGACTCCCGATGCCATCTCCAGAGCCATAAGAGAGCATCACAGCACTCACAAGGAGACCAGCTGCAGAGAACAAGATATCACAGGCACTGGCAGCGTGGGATGGGAACCCCCCAGAGAAACAATAACCACCTGGCAGGAATCACACGCTCCCTCCTCCTCACGCCTCCAACAGCAGCCTGACAACAGGCTTTGCTCAGCTCAGGCACAAGCTGCCACCATCAATTGCTCTGTACAAGAAAATTTGCTACAGAAAAAAAAACCCAAAAACCATCTGGAAGGGATGATTGTTAGTCTCCATCTTCATGTAAAGAATAGGTGGAATAAACATCTCTCAGGCTTTGACTAAGGTGATGTTGCCTGAAGGAAAGCAGTGGACTAGATCTTGATAGCCAGCTTGACCTTTCTGGCTTTCCAAGGACAGATTAAGTCACAGGAAATCCACCTTTCCCACCCACCCAAAGGGCCAATCCTCTTTCTGAGATCTGGAAAGCTTGAAACAACCTGGAATTGCACGCCTCCAGGACAAGTTGCTCTTTCATACATTGCAGAAATCCTTCCAACTGTTTTGAAAGTCAGATATTTTTTTTAAATGTAAGGACTTGTGAATAAATTATAGAAAAGTCTGATTCTATCAGTCCTTTCTGATTTTTTGTGTTACTCTAGAAAAAGATCCTGACAGACGCTAGAGAAAGAGAAGTACCTCGTCTACACAGCACTATGGTTCACTTAAAAAACCTGCTCGAACCAAAGCAGCGAGAGAAATTAAATCAAACCAAAGCAATCATTTCAATGCAGGAAAAGGGGCACACAGACACTTATTTTTTGACTGATCCAATGAAGTGTGATTTTGCTCGGGTCAGTTGTACTCTGCCTTGCACTGAAATACTGACATGAGCTTTAGAGAACACAGGCTGCACCTTGAGTAGACAATAAGCATAATAAAAAGGCAGCTGGGTGTGAAAGGCAAAGCAGCCCACTCTTTCACTTCACTGCCAGGAGAGGGCCTGCAGGGAGCTTTCCTCTGATACTCCAACCCAGCAGCTAAAATTAAAATATATTGAGCCAACAAGCAGCCTCTGGTAGTTGTTTAATAATGACCACTTAAACCCCACAGTGTAGATAAAACACACCTCTCCCTCCCCACGCACCATGCAGCGGCAAGACAAATCTCTGTAGGACACGTGCCTGCTGCAGCTCCTTCTCCTCCAGAGCTTGCAGCTCTGCTTCGCACACAGCCCAACATCCTTCCCAAACACACCTCTTGGCTGCACAACCTCTGGCTGCTGGGACAGCAGCGTGGAAGACAGGCAGCACAGCCCACCCTCCCAGGCCAGAATGTCCCCTGCAGTCACATCAGGAGAATAACACTGTGTCCCCAGTTCATCACAAGCACTGGGATGGGACCAAGCCAAAGAGGTGTTTGAGGTTTGCTGGCAAGGCTCTAGTTTGAAGTTATCATCACAGCCCAAATCTTCCTCAGTTGAGAGCGAAACCCATTCCTGGGGTCTGACTTCTCTGGTGGAAAGCTGCTCCCCCAGTCACGTGAATGACTCATTTCTAGTTTTTCTTTTTCTGATACATTTACACTGGAATTTCTAATGGCTGCTGATTTGCGTCATGCAAGCCCTGCCAACTGCCCACAGCCTTTTCATCCACCAAGCCAACATTTCTGCAATTACTTTTTGTCTGCATAGTTTATTTAATGAGATGCCCGGAAGGCCCCTAGGGACTTTCAGCTGGCTCCTGCTCCCATGCAGACCACATCACTGGTAAGGTTGCAGGATTCCAGTCCGTTCAGCTGGAAGTTCAGCTGGCACTCAAAAAACAGTCGCAAGCTCCAGTCTGCCCTGACAAAGCTTAAGAGAACCCAGCTATGTTGCTGCAGCTGATAGAGTCAGAGCTGCTGGCCATGCACCAGACACAGCACCAACCTCCGACTCTCACTGCTAGGCCCGCTCTGGTCCCCCCAGGAGTCTGAAGCACTGCCTAGTCTGCGCCTGCTGCAGGCTCCTCCTGCCCTCCAGCCCCCCTCCATCTTCAGTTCACGGCATTGCCCAGTCTGCCAGGCTCCCCTGTCCTATTAACTAGAGCCCTCCCGTCCCAAGCTCTTTTGCACCCAAAATTGCCCCTTCCTCTCCCTTCTCCTGTTGAGCTTCACTGCAAAGGCACCCCTCTGGTGCAAAGTGCAGGGACACTTTCGCACAGGGGAAATCCTCACGGCTCCCGGGAGATCACTGGCCTCCCTTTCTGCCTGTCCCCATGGGCCACCTCCTATTTCATCTGTGCATACCTGGTGGATGCATGACCCCCATTCCAGCTGGCCAGGCTCCTCAGCAAGCTCAGAGCACAAGCCCTGCACCAAATGCCAGTTTTTATTAAAAGATCAGTGACATTTTCATACATGCACATGTATATGGAAATTTGCTAGTTTCATTTATAAAAGGGCATATTCAAAGAACACTTGCTGAAGGCTTTCTCCAAAACACCTTTTATGAGCACCATTTTGTTCTGTCAGGCAAAGGAGGCTGCAAGTATGAAGGTGAAAAACTGCTAACAATATCTTACTTTGGAAGGATTACTTCTTTGGTTATAATAATATTTTATTTTCAAATTTTGCTCTCTTGAGTTTCTGTAAGATTTTACACTATTCAGAGTTTTAACTAGCAAAACTAGTATCATTATGTAAACCTTATTGTGCATCTGTGTAATGTCAACACTCAATACACCAAATCCTGCCATAAAAATGTGCTGAGCAACAAGCACGAGTCGGGAACCTGATCTTATAATCAGAAGAGTCCACTCTCTTAACAGGATCTGCCTTTGGCATCATCTCAATCAGAAAGCTGTTTTGTTACTTTATTGATAAAAAGAATATTCTCTCGACCTTGTAACTCAATCCTGAAAAGGGTTTCAGAGACATGCAATTCAGCTATTAGCGACAAGCACAACAGAAACACCCACAAGGAAATTAAGTATTGCTTAGATAGCATGCAATAAACATACAGGGCCATGACGTGAATTATGATAAAAAAAAGAGACAGCAAGCGCTAAATACTCACTGAACGCTTTTCATCCTAGGCACTGAGTGGGTCAATCTCTGTGAAAGGTGACTAGGTCAGTAAAGACCATGATAGCGCACACCCCCCAAATCTGCTCCTCCAGAACTGGGCCTGTGCCTTCACAGCCATCACATCAAAAGCCTAAGTGGAGAACTGACTCATGCACAAGACACAACATCTAGCTCGAGGCCAAGGACACTGTGCTCTGCTTAACAGGCCATGCTATCTAATACGCGCTCTTCCATCAAAAAGGAGGGCAGCAGGCGAGGAAGGTGAGCAAAAATCCTTTCATAATTGAAACTGCCAGACACATTCAAGCTGCCAAACAGATCTAGGAATTACAACAAAGGTGAAGGAGGTACAAAGCTAGGAGTTTGGTTTTCCCAGTGAAGGTTGGGACAGGATCAAAATGGCAAGAAGGGAGTGAGGAAGACAACGGAGCAGCAGGGAAGAGCTGTTCTAACAATCACACACATTGCTGCAGCCATGAGTCTCATGTTCCCTGTGAAGGAGGAACGTGCAGAGCAAAAGGAGGAAGGCCAATTCCTATTTCATATTCTGCCTGTGAATTCTAACTTTACAGACACATTCAGACCTGCATGATCTCAGCCCGAGACTTTTCTTCCTATGCTTGTGTTAGGAGCAGAGGAGAACACATGGAAATGTGACTCATGCACAAATCAACACAGCACTGTCAGTCTGCAGGTAGCCTCGCTTGTGTGAACTTAAGACAGGAACAAAAACAGGGAAAAAAAAAGTCTGAGAAAAGAACAGAAGAAACTGGGAAAAACTAGGTACACACATGCTTCCCCAGGAAGCAATGCAGTGTACTGCAATCAGAGATGGAACAATGAACCGTAGCTCAAATGAACAGCTTGAACAGTTCGAAGTTCAGCTGATGTGCAAATGTTATAATCTGCTCTCGTTGTCTGCAAACTGTCCAGCCGCAGCCAAAGTTCTGCTATGAACTAAGGGGAATGGGAGTTTTCAGCTGTATTCCTGAACAAAGAATCCTCCTGCTCATCACTGCAGAGCCAGAAATGTCATGAGCACACACAAGGCAATACAGAATGTAACCCTTTTCTTGAAATTTTTCTAATCATTTACTATTCAATTCCTGAAAAGGTGTTAAAGGTGTCACAGGTCCCATGTCAGTATTTTAGTCTGCTCAGCAAAAATGTGGACAATTGGCTGTATTGTTAGGGCCTGGTTAACAAAATGCCTTGAAGAAATGGTGCTCCTTCCACAGATTCCCATGGAAATGCAAAGATTCTGGGTCTGGATGTGTTACAGACTCCTTCCTCCACCCAAGGAAAACGACAAAGGAAGGGCTTTGAAAGCTTCCAGGCACCAGCACTGTGACTTCTACTGAACAATGGGAGCTTGTGTCAGAGAGAAGATGCTAAATGCTCCCAGGCAGTGGAGGTGGTCAATCATGGTTCCTGCAACTGGCGCACAGTGGAGGCAGAGGTGCTGATGAGGTCTTGAGGAAGGCTCTCGCGTGCTTCCTGCATCCGGCGCTGTGCCCTCTGGAAAGCCTCTACAACACAGCAGGTGACAGAACGCATCAGACAGCCTCAGGGAAGGGATGAGTCTGTCCACTGAACATCGGCTCTCCTGGAGCAGGAATCTCACTTCCTATTACTAAGTTCCACCAACAAAGCACTCGGTCCTTGCTGCTCTCTTCACTTATTTCTAGCACTGTCTTTGCTCTGTGCATAATGGAATCGGAGACAGATCCTGTGCATCAGTGCCACAAGCTATGCTCAGCGCCAGGCAAGACTGGGCAGCCCAACCTAGGCTTTGCCCTCACAGCACGGTTATCCCTCCTGCCTGCTGAGGGCTGATGCCTCCTGAAGTTTCCAGCTCAGATCCGAACATTTAACCTCTGCTATGCACTCAGAGAGTTCACAGGGGGACAGTTATCCCCACAGTAATGGATCCTCTTGAAATATCCTGTCCACTCTGTAAAAAGGGGGCAAAAGTGAGCCAAAGGCTAGTCAAGGACAATGACACTGAAAGCCCTACCCAAAACGTTGTAGACAGAACTGTGCTGGCTAAAGCCTCCAAGCCAGTCCAGTACACTCTGCACACACTGCCTCAGGGCACTGGTTTCCAGAAAGGCTCTGCACAGAAGTACAATAGGAGGTCAGGCCTGCTAAAGCACAGCACACAAGATGGTGCTCGTACTCACTTTGCTGCACTTGCTTAGACTACTGCAGGCAGTAAAGCCGGAACGTGACACTCCCTGTTGTCTCTGTGCGAAAACCAAAGCAGCTCAGACGCTCTCCCTGCAAAGATGGTACAAGTTAGAGTAACCACAGCCTGCAACCTGCTGCAGCAAGCTGACCCTAGTGAAAATGAGCATGCCCCACCATGAGCATGCACTCCTGTGAGCACAGTCTCTCCCTTTCCCGCTGCACACAGAAAGCGAGATCAGAAAGAAGGGCAGATGGTTCCAGGCTGTGCTGGGGGCAGGACCTAAACACTAGCAAGCTGATAGTGCAGTCCTGGAGGAAGGTTTCAACAACTGCACCAAGGCATTCCCACACAAAGCTGCTACTAAGATCAACTTGCTCATTACATCAGCAAGCACCTCTGCAGCTTTCTTAAGAACATGAAATTTCTGCCTGCCTCATACCTATCGGCTTCTGGCTTCGGGAAACTGTTCCAGCCACAGTACAGCCCAGATTCCTTACAAAAACACAGGAAGAAGTCTATAGCTGGTAACAAATGCTGACCTGACAGACACTTCCTGGACAGGGCCAGCACAGGCAATGGTAAGTCAAGGCTTTGCTCCACGTTCACCCACTTCTCTAAGCTGCACACATCTCAGAAGGCAGAGAGCTCTGCCTCAGCGTTTGCCCCTTCCTCTGTTCATGATCACAAGTCTCACAAAGGAGACATTCTTTAGTCAGAGGGACAGGACCACCAGCTCATCCTTGTTCAAATCTGGTCCAGGCTGTCCACAGACACCTGAAGCCGAGAGCATAATCTACCATCTCCCAGCAAGAGCAACACCCTGCAGCTAAGCCCACCTTGAAGGTTGATGGTATCCTGATGTAGGTTATGTCCTCCAGCTCAGGAGATCCACCAGAGAAAAATCTCCTCAGCTCAGTGACTGTCCCCAGCTCCACAGGGCGCCAGGTAGGGATGGTGAGCATGTGGAGACCTGACCCAGGACAATAGGACAGCTTAGCAGCTATGACCAACAATCTATTCAGAGTCTCAAAGGACAGCATGGTAGATGGATACCTGCTGACCCAAACTGCAGTAGGCTGGAAATGGAAACACTGCATGGTATCTCTGTAACATTTTCCCAATGAGTCAGCCCCATACAGTCACAAAGCCAGCGTTGAAAGTACCCATGAGGAGCATCTCCTTACTACATGGGAGTGTCAGAATAGTTGTGACCTTCAGATTCCATGTGGGATAGAGAGGGCTACAGCTATTGTAAACATGGATATACAGCATCATCCCAGAGCTTTATCACACGAGATCTTGTGACGGAACCACTGAAGGAGCAAGGACAGCAACACATGATGTGGCTCAACAACAAGGCAGAATGGTGCAGGATGCACCAAATCCTTTGCTGCCTCACTGTGTATGGAAGGGTTAAAAGATGGAATTTTGGTCCGTGGATGAACACTGAGTAAGAAGTAGATAACTAAAAACCACAGTCAGCACAGGGAACAGATAGTTTATTGTCTATTGTTTGAAATGCTGACCATGGAGATAAGGAGGTTGAGCAATGTTAGGGGAGGTAGTACATGCAATAATGGAGGAATACAAGGCACCACACATAATTTTGCTTACCTTGCAGAAGTCCTGCTATTGGTTAGAGCATAGTGGACATGACTGATAGATTATGGTAATATGCCCCGTGTACAGAGCCCATGAACCGATAGAAGGGATGGCTATGGCACGTGCAGCATGCCTGGCCAGTGGGCACATCTGCCATAGGCTCCCTATGTTGCAATTGAGGTATGTTTCAGCACTCATTGGCCACAAGTGTCGACACCCGTTCGTCCACAAATGTATAAAATACTGGGGTTTTCCAAAGAGCAGTGGGCCAGTGAACGGCAAGGTCACCGTTGCCTCCGTGGGGACGCCCACGTAAAGCTGGCACCTAACAACTGCTGGGCTGAGCTCGCAGCGAAAGACGGCACAAGAATGTACGGAACGTACGGATGGCTCATCTTCTTCACAGCCCTTGGGTCAGTATGTTAATAGGTTTTTTTTTTGCTTTGTAAGATATCCTTAGCATAACACATTGTGTAGTTATTAAAATGCTTGCTTTTTCCCTTATAGTCAGTGTGTGTGTGTTTACCTTCTCGGGAATCCTCAAAACCACCCTAAAACACCCATAGACAGCTAACTATCCCCTTCAGTATGCAAAGGCAAAGCCTCCCCACGACCAGCTGAATCCATTCCCGAGAGAATCACTCAACTCATTCTCCCAGACAACTAACATAATGGCCCAAGTATGTTTTACCTGGAGATGCTGGCAGCACCAAGGAACCATATCCTTCAATGCGATACCTCTGCCAGAAATCCAGGGAGACGACCTCGAAGTAGAGAACAGGCCACTGAGGGAGACTGTCTGCAAGGAAGGGCAGCAGATCACAGCTTTGTGAGGGAGACTATCACAGAGAAAAAAAAAAACAACTAAATGCCCAACTCCACTAGTAGGAAGTCCTTTCTGTATTCCTTCTACAATGACTAACCTAGATGTATGGGTGATTATTTTCCCCTGTAAAAGCTGAACCCTCAGATTTGAGAATTATTGAAAAGATGTTAAAAATTTGGGAAAACTCTTTGTTTTGAGAGCAAGTCCAAACTGGTTCCTCAATTATCTTTGAGCAGACAAGACAATCTTTTGTGAATGATCTGCTGCCAAACAGGGGAACCTTTTTATCTCTGACCTTTCCCACCATTACTGGAGGATTATTAACTTGGATTCTCCTACAGGTCTCCAAGCATTTCTTTTTTCCACAGTGAAACAAACTCATCGTGTTTATTCTAGGCTGAAAATCCATTAGTGTTGGTTGAATACTCAAATCCAATGCATACATTGGATTCAAGTGGCAAGGCATGCTGCAAAGCTGTCCCTAGCAATTGCAATCCAAAGAGCAATGGGGTCGGTGAGGAAGCAGCAGTAGCATAGTAAAGGAGGAGGAACAGGCAGCAGAGAAGCCCAGCTTAAAATAGAGCTGGAAGATTCAAAGTGACATGAACTATACAAAGAGTATACAGGTCATTGAGTGTGTCTACAAATGTAAGACTCAGCAGAGAGTTTTAGTTGTGTACAAAAAAAGCTGCCAGTTTCTTTTGCTGCAGTGTCCCAGGGCTCTACGCAGTACACCATGCATGGCAACACAGACCAGCATGCCAGGGATTTTGAGACAGACAAGCTAAGATACAAGTAGTTTTGCAACTGGATAAAGCTGGCTACAGCCTGGAAGCAAGGCAACATCAATGAGTCCATACAAATGCTATTGCACTGCTGGGCAGGGCAAATACACTATGTGCCCAAAGATTGTGTGGTGACAGGGTGAACATTTGCTGAACGAGCAACTTTTCCCTTTGTTTAAGTCTGTCCTTTCATCTTGGTGAGGGGCCAACAACATGCCAGACAGCATGATGCCTACGCTGCGATCAAAAGATTTCAGAGTTTCACATTTCAGAGGAACAAGGGAACACACCTTCCGATTCATCTCCTTGGGTGAAAAACATCTCCAAAGTGAAGGGGTAGCAGAAGTATGCCACGTTATCCTAGAAAGGGAACAGGACAGAGATCAGATTCCTGGACAAGAGAATTCACCCACTAGCATTGCAGGGGGCACAGAGAGCAGGGAGAAAAGAACTAATGGTGGAAAAGAGGTAATGATACCCAAACAAGATCAAGTACATCACACTAACAAACACCTGACTGCATGATGGACCTGCATACACTCCCAAGTGCCATGTTGATGGAACAGGCTGTTAAAAAGAATGAAAAAGGTGAAAGAGTAACACACCTCAAATGACAATTCAGCCAGCTGTGTAGCTGCTACACCACCACAATCTTTACAGGAGCCAAGCAAAATACCTCGTACAATGTTATTACTGCAATGTTTTATGATAATTATTTTTGTAATATGCAAACTAGCTCACACAAAAGACATTAAGAATTTGATAAAATTCAGATTTTGTAAGAGAGGAGTTGGAGACAGCAATGGACCCAACCTCCCAGATAGGAGGAGGGGTTCATTTTGAGAAATCAATTTAGAGACTGTGTGCATTCCTGCGCCAGGCAAGTGAGAACAATGCTTCATTAACTCTGAGCATTTGAGAATACAAAAATCAAAGCTCCAAAGGCAATCAATCAGCCAGAAGGAAGAAAAAAGTGAGGTTCCAGAAACTGCTTTGAAGCAGTTTTGGTTTGCCTAGTTTTATTTGGACACAGTGGCACCCTGAAAAATGGCAAGTATAACTAGAATGAGGAGAATCCTAAACAGGCTCTGCCCTTGAAAGGAGCTCTGTATTAGATTTGCATGGCAAGGTTTTGGGGGGGGGGGGGGGTTACAGGG